CCCGGCAGGGGCAGGGGGGTGCGGCAGGGGGGGCAGCTCCAGCACCGGGTCCCCCGAGGGGGAAGGGGGGCGCTCAGGCACCAGGTCCCCCGGCAGGGGCAGGGGGGTGCTGCCGGGGGGGGCAGCTCGGGCACCGGGTCCCCTGGCAGGGGCAGGGGGGTGCTGCCGGGGGGGCGCTCAGGCACCAGGTCCCCTGGCAGGGGGGTGCTGCCGGGGGGGGCAGCTCGGGCACCGGGTCCCCCGAGGAGGAAGGGGGGCGAGGGGGCACTGCTGGGGAAAGCTCACAACACCAGCGCGGGAGGGGCAGCTCGGGCACGGGGGGCAGGGGCACTGCCGGGGGAAGCTCGCAGCACTGGTGGGGGTGGGGGCTGCAGCAGACTGACCCCGGTGCCCCCCCAGGTGTCCATCGTCCGCAGCACGACCATTACGCTGAGCCCCAGCTCGGAGATGGACGTCTCCCTGGTCTACAAGGGCTTCATCTACCCGCTGCTGGCCGGGCCCCCCCCGCCCCCCACATCTCCGTCTGGGCCCGTGTGCAGCGCCTCCACGTGGTCGCCAAGCTGGGCCGTGCCCCCAACGCCCCCGAGCTGGTAAGGGGGGAGCCGGGGCCATCGGGGCTGCCCCAACGCAGTGCCGTGGGGTCTGTGCCAGGGAGCAGGGTGGGGTCAGCTGGGGGTGCTGTGGGGCGGGGGGTCAGCAGGGGGCGCTGGCTCGCCCTGACCCCCAGCGCATGGCAGGAGGAGGTGGGGCGCTGTGGGGCGGGGGCGCTGGGGGGCAGGGGGGCAGCGGGGGGCTCTGGCTCCCCCTGACCCCCAGCCCGTGGCAGGAGGAGGTGGGGCGCTGTGAGGCGGGGGCGCTGTGGGGCAAAGGGGTCGGCAGGGAGGTCTGGTTCCCCCTGATCTCTGGCCCGTGGCAGGAGGAGGTGGGGCGCTGGGCCGTGCAGCAGGAGAAGGAGACGCGCCCCCTGCAGCGCCCGGGCACCCAGCGGCTCTTCGGCAGCCCCGAGCGCGGCAACAAATACCTGGTGCAGGTCGAGGGGCATCTCAACAGCTCGGGCACCGGGCAGAGCAGCGAACTCACCCTGGTGTGGGACCGCACTGGGGTGCCCGGCGGCAGTGTGAGTATCCCCTGTGCCCCCTGTGTCCCCCTGCCCCCCTGTGTGCCCCCCACATACCCCCCTGTGCCCCCTGTGTGCCTCCCACGTACCCCTGTGCCCCCTGTATGCCCCCCACGTGTCCCCCTGCCCCCTTTGTGTCCCTCACGTGCCCCCCGCCCCCTCTGTGTAACCCCCAGGTACCCCATCCCCCCCGCCAGGCAGAGCAGCGAGCTCACCCTGGTGTGGGACCGCACTGGGGTGCCGGGCGGCAGCGTGAGTAACCCCCCCCGTGCCCCCGGTGTGCCCCCCACGTGTCCCCCTGTGCCCCCTGTGTGCCCCCCATGTACCCCCTGCCCCCTGTGTGCTCTCCACGTACCTCCCCTGTGTTCCGTGTGCCCTCCACGTATCCCCCACGTACCCCCCGTGTGCCCCCACGTGTCCCCCTGCGTGCCCTCCACGTACCCCCCCTGTGTGTAACCCCCCCGTGAAGCCCCCAGACCCCTCCCCCCCATCCCTCTGCCAGGTGGCAGTGTGTACCCCCCATCCCCCACACCATGTGTACCCCCGACCCTCTCCCCCTTGTGTACTCACCTATACCCAGGTGCCGTGGGGGGATGATTGGGGTGAGGTGGGGAAAGGTGAGGGGCTGGTTGGGGTAGGGAGGGGTGCTGCAGGCTGATTGGGAGGTGCCCTGGGGGGCTGGCTGCTGGGGTTCCCTGGGGGTCTGGGAATGATTGGAGATGCCCTGGGAGGGCTGGCTGCCGGGGTTGCCCTGGGGGGTTGGGGATGATTGGAGGTTCCTTGGGGGGCTGGCTGCTGGGGGTGCCCTGGGGGACTGGGGGTGATTGGGAGTGCCCTGGGGGGCTGGCTGCCGGGGGTGCCCTGGGGGGCTGGGGGTGATTGAGGGTGCCCTGGGGGGCTGGCTGCCGGGGGTGCTCTGGGGGGCTGGGGGTGATTGGGGGTGCCCTGGGGGGCTCGCTGCCGGGGGTGCCCCTGGTTCTCACTCGCCCGCTCTCCCCCCAGGAGATCTCGTACTTCTTTCTGGAGCCGTTCCGCGCGGGGCCCTGCCCCTCCTATCCCTCCTGCCTGGCCTGCCTGGCCGACCAGGGTTGCGGCTGGTGCCCGCTCAGCGCCAGCTGCCACGCCCGGCTGGAGGGGCCGGGGGGCGGGGGCCATGCGGGGGGGGCTCCGTGCGCCTCGTCCTCTCGCCCAGCAACTGCTTCCTGTGCGAGGAGTACCGGGACTGCCACGCCTGCAGCGCGGTGAGACGGGCACCGGGGCGGGGTGTGTGTGTGTGTGAGACGTTCCCCAGGTTACGACGTGACGGCTGAACCGCGGTGCGCCCGACTCTGTGCCCGGGAACAGCGCCCCCTCCCGGCCGTGCCCCCTGCGCTCCGCCCGCCGCTCGGCTGCCCCCGGCCAGCGCAAAGTACGAGGAAGGTTCCCTGGCGATTACAAACCGGAATCTTGTCCCCAGACTCACCCAGCGGGTGACTCTTCCGGCCCCCAGGCCTCCCGCAGCCCCAGGGGGGGAGCCTGGCCAGCCCCAGCCAGGGACGCCCCCAGTGGCCGTGGGCTGGACGACCCATCGGGGGGTCTAGAGACCAGCATCACACACCGCGTGGGTACGCCCATGCTAACAGGACAACGATGTTCAGCACATTATGAGTTTCCAAGTGATCCCTCCCCAGGCAGGTGTAGTGCAGAACATAGCATGGCCGTGTGACAGTGGTGAATAAGAGGTACAGGGGGGCTCTGGGGGGCACTGGCTCTGCAGGAAGGGACTCTGACCCCCCCCCCCGGTGCCCCCTCAGGACCCGTTCTGCGAGTGGCAGGTGAACAGTAGCAAGAAGGGGGATCTGCTGTGCAGCCGCCGGGGCCGGCAGCCCCACGGCATCCGCGCCCCCGACGCCTGCCCCGCGCTGTGCCGCCAGTGAGTCCTGGGGGGGCTGGGGGGGGGAGGGCAGGGGTGCCGGGGGGGGGTTGGTGCTGGGGGAGGCAGGACCTAGGGGGGGTCAGTGTGTGGGCAGGGTGCCGGGGGGGGGTCGGTGCTGGGGGGGCAGGACCTGGGGGGTCAGTGTGTGGGCAGGGTGCCGGGGCTGCGTGGTCGCTGTCTGGGGGGGAGGTGGTGGCTGGGTGGGGGGGGCAGCAGGGGGGGCTCTGGGAAGCAGTAACCCCCCCTCTCCCCCCAGGCGGAGCACGTGCGCCGAGTGTCTGTCCAACTCCAGCCAGTGCGCCTGGTGCCAGTCCACCCACAGCTGCTTCTTCTTCGCCGCCTACCTGGCCAAGTACCCGTACGGGGACTGCCGGGGCTGGTACGACAGGTGAGGGGCGCGGGGACCCCGGGTTCTCTCCAGCTCTGGGAGGGGGCTGGGGGCTGGGAGCCAGGACTCCTGGGTTCTCTCCCGGCTCTGGGAGGGGGTGGGGCCGAGCTGGGGCTGACTCGTCTGTCTCCTGCCCCCAGTGTCCATTCGGTGCCCCAGTGCCTGGACTGCGCCCGGTTCAACACGTGCCGGGACTGTCTGCAGCACTTCGAGTGCGGCTGGTGCGGGAACACGGACAACCCCACGCTGGGCAGGTAACAGGCTGGGGGGTGGGGCGTTCCCTCTCGGGGGCGCCGGCTCCCACCCGGCCCCAGGGCAGGGACTGGCTGGCTCAGGGGGGCGGGGAGTGGGGCAGGGGGCTGTCCCCTCTCGGGGG